TCCCGCCCATCCCTTGCTCTTTCGGCTTTTTTTTTTTTTTTTTTAGGCAGTGTCCCTCCCCATATTTGCTGCTCACTTGACTGAGTAGCAAAAGAGCTGACGTAAAGAACTGGAGGTGAGAAATCCCCTCCTCTGGTAAAGAAACCCTCACTTCTTGATTTCTCTCTAGGACTGGTGGAATCACCATTCCCCGGCTGCGGTTTCTCCAGATTTTTTTTTTTGGGGGGGGGGCCTTTGACTCACCGGGCCTCACGAGGAATGAAGGATGCTTATCCTACCTCTTCTCTCCCCCCCCCCACTCCTGTTGGCGAGAAGCCTACCTTTGCCTCCTTCTGCCCGAGCCAGCTGGTGCTGAGATGCAAGGACAGCTTGCATCAGCTGAAGAGGACTGGATGGGGGGGCAGCACCGAGGGAGGCCAATAAAACAGACCTCCCCCCCACACACACACACACACTCCGTCCCCACCTCCTCGGCTTCTCCCTCTCTCTTTCGGGTTGCCTTCCTCTTGAAGGGTTTTGGCCGACCCCTTCTGCAAGAGGCCGGGCCATTGATTTCTGTACCAGCTTTTCCACCTTTGCTTTTTTTCTCCCCTGCAGCGCCTCCCCCCCCCATGAGATCCAGTGTGTGCAGGGGGGGGGAACAGGTGGAAGCTTTCTCTCCCTTTCTATCTCATCTCACTAAGTGCTGTGCGGGGAGGGGAGAGCACGAGGGGGGGATTAGTACTACATTTATTAATCCTGGGGCCAATTAACTGCTTCCCTGCCATCCCAGCTCCCATTTGTTCCAGCCACGGTCTTTGTCATGGTCGGTTCCCCCTCCCCCGCCACCTTCATGCTTCACACGCCCACCCGTGCATCCGAGTCTTGGGCAGGGTGCAGGTTTAGGAAGCCTGTCTTTGATGCCTAACCCCGTTCCACTCCAGCCTGGAGGGAGGTCATCGCGCCACCAAATTATTACGGCAGCACACTGTAATCGCTCGGAGCAGCAGCGGCTTAGCTACAGGATCCAACTTAATCTGGGCCTGACTTCTCCGCCGTCATGAATGCATGAAGCTGCCTTATACTGAATCAGACCATCGGCCTATCGAAGCCAGTACTGTCTGCTCAGACGGGCAGCCGCTCTCCGGGGTCTCCGGCTTGAGGTTTTTCGCATCACCTCCTCCCTGATCCTTTTTAATTAGAGATGCCAGGGGCTGAACCTGGACCCTACTGCATGCAAAGCAGAGGTCCTTTCCCTGGGCTGCAACCCTCCCCCTATACATGAAGCTGCCTTATACAGACCATCGGTCCCTCAAGGTCAGTATTGTCTGCTCGGACTGGCAGCAGCTCTCCGGGGTCTCAGGCTGAGGTCTTTCACATCACCTACTGCCTGGTCCTTTTAACTGAAGATGCCAGGGATTGAACCTGGAACCTTCTGCATGCCAAGCAGATGCTCTGTTACTGAGCCACAGCCCTTCTCCAGGTCCGGTGTGGGTGTGTACACACACTCTTTTTTTCACGCACACACACACACACTTAAACAGGTAGCACCTTAGATCCCTGCGGTGCTGCCTTTTTAGCCTTCCTTGACTTCTGAAGGCAATTCGATTTTTTAAAAGGTTTCACATGCCGGCAGGATAAAACCTTGTCCTCCTGCAGTTTTTGAAGCCTTAAGCCATTTCCTCCCTTCCAAAACCTGTTTTATTCCAGTGTGAGTTTTTGGTTGGATTTTCATCGTTAGAAGTGTGTGAAACCTTAAAAACCCATTTGCTTTCAGAAGCCCAAGTGGGTTAAAGAGCCCGTATGAAAGAGGTCTTTGAAACTAACAAACCTGGATTCCAGCATAAGCTTTCAGGCTCTAGAGCACATTTCTTCAGGTGCGAAGTGTTCCCTCTAAGCTGAGTTAGTGTGAGCTAGCTCACAGTTTTTTAGCTTCCAGCTCACACATTTTTGTCTTAGCTCAGGAAGGATGGCTCTGGAGCAAACTAATTTATGCAGTGGCCAGATCGCTTGCTCACAACTTTAATGCCAGCGGCTCACAAAGTAGAATTTTTGCTCACAAGACTCCACTGCGTAGAGGGAGCATTAGATGCGATGAGTGGATATCCTCACTATGCAGTTGTGTTATGTGGGGAGGGGGTGTTGTTGGAGCGGGGAACCCAGCAAGGGGCCACAATATGCAGGGGGCGCAGAGTTGAACTGTCCTTGTGTGTAACGACTTGAATCGAATCAAGCAGAATACCAAGACCGTTCTCTGTTGTGGTTAAGCTAGTTCATGCCTGCCATGGCCGGGGGAAGCCCATTTCAATATTTGAGGTGTCACTCCGTAGTTAAGGCGCTAGTCCTCGAGGTGCCATTAGATTCCAGTTTATTTTTGCTGCAACAGCCCCACCTCCAGAATTGCATCCACTTTGCCGTGTTCTGTCTTTTTCTGCTCCCCCCCCATACAAATACACTCATTGTTATCCCTTTCTTCTTAGCTCCCCACTTCCATTCTGAGTACGCTTGGGGCATTCCCCCGTGCCCCCAGGCCCTTGAGTCCTCGTCTTCACCTGTAGACCAGAGTCGAGAAATTATGACCGTCCCCGTTTCTCACACACACACACACACACACACACACACACACACACACACACACAAATCTGAAGCAGGATTTGGACTGTAAGGAAAGAGGGAGAGGTGTTCAGAATTTGCAGTCCGGTTGCCACCTGCATGCCTGAACTTGAACCCGTCTCTGCTTCCGCTGTTGTCCCAGACCTATGGCCCTTTTCAAGTCACACACCCCTAAAATTACTGCCACACATACACTGAACTCTCTGGTGGTGTTGGAGCCCTTGTTTCTCAAGTGTCCGGTTCCTGTGCCTCCTTCCACCCTGCCCCTGTTATAACCTCGCTTATAATTATCTTATAGCATGGACGTTGGGAGGGGTCTTATCTCCCCTTTGGGGTCTCCTGCCCTTTGTGTGTGTCAGGTGGATGCCGCCCTCTTGTCATTCTTGTGATCAGGCTGGGAGAAGTGGTAGAAACAGGGTCTGTTGCTCGGCCAGGTGGTGACCGGAGGCCTGGAACCCCCTGCTGTCAGGGTGTGACATGATCAACGCAACCAAGTCCGGAGGCCCCATCCGCCCTCTGGCATGATACCTAATGAGAGAGTGCTGGGACGCTCGGAGAAACCATGCCTCCTCAAATTGGGAGGAAGGCCTCTGAGAAGGAGAGAGCCCTTACGAGAGGAGGGGGTGCGAGTCTGGAGAGATGTGGGGGGGGGGTGGAGGAGCGGAGAGTGGGAGGCGGTTGTTGAGGGGGAGAGTGAGAAAAGAGGAGGTGCGGCCTTAGTGGGGAGGGGGCTCCGGACGAGGAGAAGCTGCCGCGCGGGAGGGGCTGGTGATGCAGTATTAATTTCCATCTGGGAGCTGGTCTCCATGGCAACAGAGAATATCCGGCAACTCCATGGGGAGCGGTTACCACGGCAACAACATCCCCGTGGTTGCTGAGGAGGAGAAGACAGAGAGAGAGAGAGAGAGAGAGAGAGAGATGGTACAAACAAGGATGGGGGAAGGGAGAAAAGGGGACTGGGCAGGTGGATACCCAGATTTGAGCAGGCCAGCAGGGACATCCCTCTAGGGAAGGCCCCGGAACTCTTCATCAGCTGTGGAAGCAAACCTGTGTGTGTGTGTGTCCCCTTTCCCCTGCCCTGCGAGATCGGCCAGACGGGGGTCTTTGTGGAGAATTCAGGGGTCACGTCCCTTCTCTTGGTGTCTTGCAGGTCATGGGAGCCGCCCTCGGTCCCCCGCTCGGGGACCCCCAAGTGGCCATGTTCTGCGGGAAGCTGGTGTTGCATCTGAACGTACAAACGGGTCGTTGGGAGCCGGACGCCTTCGGCACCCACACTTGCTTCCGTACCGCCGAAGAGATCCGCAGCTACTGCCAGGAGGTACCACGCCCCCCCCCCAATTCCGCTCTCTCCCCAAAGCTC